GATTCATGTATATTTTAACCTTTTTTCTTTCGCAATAGTTACTAGGTTGTGAAAGAACTTGAAGCAATTCCAGGACAAGGCTAATTTAAATTGATACACAACTAGTATACCGATCCCTGATTACTATATTGTAGCTATTTGGCACCAAAGCAAACATTAAACAGTTTGCATTCCAGTCAAAGTAAATGACCAAATGGAGATAGAATTATGATGGCATTGCTTTATAGCCTAGTTACTACCAAGCTTAGCCAAATGATAACTCTTTTCTAATATGAGGACAGTCACCTTACATGGAACCCAATGGGCCTAATGCCTTGAAGAATGAGAATATTAAAGGATTTACCAGCTCCAAGTGGTTTATTAGGGAGCTGTATGAAACTGTGAAATCTAATATGTTCTTTTAGTTCATAACTGGTGTCATCCTGTCTTATGATTAAAAAAAAAATTAGGAGTCCAAAAGGACCTGATTTACCTGAATAGAGAAATGGTATGACTGACTAACCCTCCTGTACTTCTTCTTGTTTATTTTCCCAGACTTGGTTTTTAGGAGAGAAAGTTGGTGAAGGAACTGGTAAAACAAGAAGGGAAGCCCAACGCCAGGCTGCTGAGGGTTCTATTAAGAAGTTAGCTGGTAAGATTTCATACCATGATATTTCTTATTACTTGTTAGTACATAAGGTCATTGAATTGAATCAGCTGTCTGATTTTTAGCATGTCTTGTCATTTGTGCATTGTCTATGTTGTGCCTGTCCTGTGTACCATACAACTGCTAAGCTGAGCTCTGAACAGAATTTATTGTTTGCTATATTGGTGCTTGCTACCGGAACTGTTGCTTGTAGCATGGAATCTAGACTGTAGCTATTCAGTACCTTGGGCTTGAATTTGCTCTGATCTTATGGTCTAAATCAGAAGTGAGGTTGAACTGATTCTGTGACAGTGTGCTATTGTCTTGAAACATGCTGTATGATGTACTTTGTTAATATCAACATAGCATTTGTCTCCTACATTATTTTGCATGGGCATTTTTCTTAAAATTTTATGCTCCAACATCCTTTACGGTGGAAATTCCTCTTGTCCAAACATCTTTGCTCTGCGATGCTGATGACAATATTTCTGCAGGCATATATATGTCACGTTCGAAGCCTGATTCTGGGCCCATGCTTGGGGATTCAAGTAGATATCCTAGTGCAAATGATAATGGTTTCTTGGGTGATATGAATTCTTTTGGGAATCAACCATTGCTGAAAGATGAGAACATTACATATTCAGCTACTTCAGAGCCATCCAGACTTCTGGATCAAAGGCTGGAAGGCTCTAAGAAATCAATGGGTTCAGTCACTGCACTCAAAGAATTTGTAAGTTCCAAGGAGCTAGTCATGCATCTACCATGTTTCAATGGCTATTAAGTTTTTTTATCACTGAAATGTCATGGATTGACATTTGATGTCTTCAGTGCATGACGGAGGGTCTTGGGGTAAATTTTCTGGCACAGACTCCTCTTTCAACTAATTCAATACCGGGAGAGGAGGTACATGCACAGGTTTGTATTTGAACATGCATTTTACTTTGAAGTTTGAGAAGTGATGCAAGACAGCTTAGGGGATGTTCTGGATCTGACTTTCAGGGGCTATAATGGTGAGTGTTTTAAGGTTACATTGGTGGGTTTTGTAAAATGAAAATTGTAGAAACTATCAGAGTCGCACTACTAGGGTTTCTCACCTAGAGGATAGAAAAGCCTAAGCTTCACATCTAGGGTTCTTAGGAATCACATCTAAGGGAGATTGAGTCACACAAACTAAAGCAAATTGCTGGAATTTTATTCAATTACTTTTATTAAAATATTGAAAGCCTACGTGCTTATTATAGAGTTTTAGGAGTCCAAATCCAACAAGGACATGGATTCCGAAACCTCCAGCTTAGCTATTCCTATTTAGAATAGGAAAGCCTAATAACTTGAGGACTGTTAAATGTAACACTAAACAGAAATAAAGCCTAGACCTAGACAATTTCCAGATCTTCCAGCAAGCTTAAAAATTACTAAAATACCCCTGCATTCCAGAATTTAAAAAAACACATGAATCTTATTCTATTGTCATCCACATCAAGAAGGTATCTTTTCCTTTTTATATTTATATTTGCACTTTAATTATTCACTTGATCTTGACAGTTCCAGCCAATTAAGTTGCAGGTAGTTTTTATAGAATACCTTTTTTCATCTCAAGGAAACTAACTCAATTAGGGGTCTTGTATTTTATAGGATAAACTCACTGGTAAGAATTTAGAACCAGAATCCCGTTCATCTTGTCTTGACATTTTGAAATTTAATGTTGTCCTGGACTTCATTTTGCACATTAATCTGTGTGGTTGTCCCTTGGTCATGGGTAGAAGGATTGATATTTACTTGTGTAAGAACAAAGAAGTAAGATGCTAGGCTATTGAAGTTCTATGAGTGTTTGGAGAATTTAAGCCAACTGAAACAGCAAAGGTTGTTTCTTGTTTGAGCAGTTCAAATTGATAATTATGTGGTTTGTTTCAAGTAGAAGAAAAATTTTGCTTTTTTTTTTTTTGTGTGCTTGTGATATGACTTTCAGCCCTCATCATTATCAATCATTTTCCAGCTCAGCTCTGATAAATTACTACTTTTTTTTTATCACACCTAGGTTGAAATAGATGGGCAAGTTCTGGGGAAGGGTATTGGGTTGACATGGGATGAAGCTAAGATGCAGGTATGCATTGTTCCATATACAGAATCATTTTTTGTTGGAGTAATATTTCTCTCTTCTTTCATAAATCTTTGTATACCTTAATTTTATCTGTCTGATCACCCAAACATGCTTTTCCCCAGGCTGCTGAAAAGGCCCTTGGAAGTCTAAGAACAATGTTTGGTCAATACACACCGAAACGTCAGGGTTCCCCTAGGTTTGTGATTGTATATTTTGCTTATTTTAACAATTAGTTGTCAATGTTCTGTATGCTACCACAAAATACCATGTCCTGATATGCTCTATTCCATATTTTTTTAATCTTCACCCCCTGGCATGTATTAAGATTATTGTTGCTAACTGCCTACAAAATTGACAACCAATCGGAAAGATGAAATGTATAAAAAGTAGACATTACAACTTGTCCTTAAAGTTCCATGCTTTGCTCGTGCTTCCATGCCATTGTTGAATAACGAGTAGACTCCTCTTCTCTTTTGTTTGTGATTTACTAGTCCAAAAATCATCTTGCACGGATTTTGAGTTTCCATCTTGCATTTTATTTTCTTTGTTTATGTTTTCTTAATTATTATTTTTTTTATAATGTAACAGGCTAATGCAAGGGATGCCAAATAAACGTCTAAAGCAAGAGTTCCCACGGGTTCTGCAGCGCATGCCCTCTTCTGCTAGATATCACAAGAATGCTCCTCCTGTTCCTTGAAGACCATAAAGTAATTCCTTTTCCCACTTTGTTGAACAGAATCACGGATTGTGTTGATCTCGAGCCACCAGTTGAATAGTTGGTTAAGTCTTTTGCTACATATAAAATGAAGCCAAGAAGAGCTCCCCCACCTGACCAATCTTACTGCAGAATTTTTTCCAAGTGACTGCAATTCTGTGATGTTCAAATATTCGTGATTTCTGCCTCTTTCTCCGGATCACATTTGTATCAAGTATCCGCTGCTCTGGAATGCACAGAAGGCTCGTGCATCAAGAAAGGCAGGGCTACATACCACCGATTATTGTTGTGAGGTCAAATGCTGCCACTGCCTTGGTCCGGATTGTTTATGATGTTTACATGTTTAACCTGAGTCAAAACTTGATGATGGGGGGAAGTGTTTTCTGGTTATATGCTCAGAGTATCTGCTCCGACCCATCATTGACACTGTAGATGTAAAATCTAACCACCCAGTTTATGTTGGCTGTCTCCACTTTACCAGGTCAAGGTGGATCCTGAGTTTTAACCTAGCAAATGTAGAACTTCATTTGTTCAAATGGGGTGAAAGTTTTCAATCTCTCTTGTCCATTTCCCTCCCCCCCTGATGATTGTGGAAACGGTTTTGGCCATCCGTAATATGAAACGACGTGCGCGAAGTGGTAATTTTCTTGCCCTGTAAAGCAATGGATGGAGGATAAATATCCAGCTCAATATCTGTTCTTGCCATTAAAACAAAATTGCAGGGAAGCTATCTTGAATTGCCACTCGAGACTTCAACATGATTCTTTCTATTGTCCTGCTAAGGGAATAGCTTCTTTATTTTAAATAATTACAGAGATTCGTTTTTCTTTCTTCTAAATAAATAATAGAACAATAAAAAGAATCACTGCAATTTTATTTATGTTTACGCTTTGTTTATAAATAAATTCCCCTCCATAATGTTGTATTTATTTTCACATTATTTACTTCTATTTTTGTAACGAAACAAATTATAAAATTTCTAATAATATTTTCAGGAGGCTTATGGTTAAAAATTACTTTTCAATTAAAATAATATTATTTTATATTAATACATTAAAAATATAAATTTAATTTTAAAAATTAAAAAAAAAAAGAACCTATTTCCCCGGAAGTTAATTACTTCCATTGGTTCGGGAGGCAAGCTAATTTTTGCCATCCATTGCACATGGATCGCCGTAATCGACAATGAACTGTCTGCATTAAACGTTTTCCTCTTCTTTTTCCCTTTTCAAGTTACAAAAAACAACGTCGTTTTCGGTTGCCAGCCTTGCCACCATTTTTATTATTATTTTTTTTCACTTAGAGCCTATTTACATTTATCTTAAAAAATATATAATTCATTTCTTTAGTATTTTTAATAATTTTAATATATTAATAACAAAAATAAAAATAAAGTATTTAATAGATTAATATCAAAATATTTTTAAGAAACGCAATTAATGGTAAGAGGTGGTAAAAGCAGAAGTAAAATCCTTTCGTTTCCCTCTTTTCTTTTCTGTCGTCAGGCAGTCAGTCAGTCGTCACCGCTCAAAAATAGGATATAAAAGGTCAAAAAAGGCAAAGCAAACAGCACTTCCCTTCAAAGCTACCCCAGCTTGCTCGGCTAAGGCTAAAACACAGATAGAGAGAGAGAGAGAAACAAAAATCGAACTAAGGAAACAGACCACCGGTTCATTGCAATTTCTAGAGAGAGAGAGAAACACGCAATCAGTTTAAATGGCTGCCTTTGATGCATTTGAAGTCATTCAATCTTCAAGTCACAATTCTTTCGATGGAGTAGACAACGAGAGCTACTCCAACTTCGGCTCTTACTCCACCGCCGCCGTTCCTAGTGATTTCCCCGGCGGAGATGTCTCCGTCGATCACGCGAGTGGTTCTCCTGATGTGTTCGGGTTTGGATCTGACGCGGATCCGGATTTCTCTCATCAGAGTCCGTTCGGATCGGTGCATGTAGAGAACGGGAATGGTAATGGATATAATGGAGCGGACGACGACGTTTTTGTGAGTGATGGACCGATCCTTCCTCCACCTACTGAAATGGAGCCTGAGGAAGGTTATGCTCTTCGCGAGTGGCGTCGGTGAGATTTTTTTTTCATTAATTTGTTTAATCTTTAGATCTACTAGTTTCTCTGTAGTAGAAGTAAATTGATTGATCTGTTTATAGCAAGTGGTTAGCTTTAGGCTTTAGTGTTAATTGATGATTTAGAACTTAATTTAATGCGATCTGCACAAGTTTATGTGCTTATTAGAGTTTATGGAAGTAGATTACGGTGCTGATCTTGGTGTCGCGTGAGTTCAGTGGAGTTATGGCGAGGAATGCTCCTCGAATCTATATCTGTTGAGCTTCAATTTACCATTTCCGATCAGTCAGTTGTGTCATCCTGTTGTATGGGATTGTTTTGGGGCCTATTTAAGGGGGCATGGTGATTCATTTATGGCAGCATGTGACTGTGAATTGACTGATTTTTTTTCGGGAGAGTATTTCATAGGTTAGTTGATGGTTAGGAGCTTAATTTAATGCTATCTTTTAGATGTTATTAGCTAGTGGGGGCAATATAGGAAGATTAAGGTACCAATTTTGGTGATCTAATCTCTGTTTCCGATTATGTCTTGTGAGATTGACACTGCAGTTCAATGCCTGAGATTTTTTAGACTTTGATCAGTAGTTTTAGGATTTGAGTTGAGAGAGTGTAGCAGCAAGTGCCTCAGTGCTATCAGGGACTGAATCATGAGAGGGTTGCTAGTTGAATCAATTGGAATTGATTTGTAGTTATATTACATATTTGAATTGTAAGTTTGTGGTTCATTGGCAATTAGTCTACTTTTTTATCTTAACCTATGCATTTATTGAGGTGCCTATTTTGTTGATTCTCTAATGGAAGGAGCTGGGGTTATACAAGTTGGATGATTTCCTTGATTTAGGATTTTGTTTCTGTAGTTTTTCACTCTGCTATGTGGGTTGAAGCGTGGTTGTAAACTACAAATTACTGTATAGTATGCTATCCTCCTTTGACAAGTTATTTATAGTGGAAGGATGATGTGATGATGAAAAGAAATCTTTGCTTCTTTCTTGTTGGTTGTCGCATCTATCTATTTCCAGGTATCAAACATGTTTCTTTGCAATTATTCAGCCAAGATGGATTTAATCTCTGGCATATTGAAGTACTGTAGGAAGCCTGCTATGAATCTGCCATTAAGTTAGAAATTTTGCATGATTTTCAGAAGCATAGAAATTTTCCTAGGAGAGATTACTTGTCTCTGAAGTTGCTGTTATAATGCTTGTCTTGTCAAAACTCTTAATATTCTGTAACCGATCACTGTTCATAAAATATTATCAGCATGTACATTCACAATTCTCGAGATTTTCTGCTCATCAAATTTATTACCTGTTTGGGTTGGGCAGTAAAAAATATCCAGTAATTTGCTATTCGAATAGGAACAGATCCTGTTTCATAAAATAACATATTCACAATTATCTCCAACTTTTCTGCTTATCAAATTTATGATCCTTTTGGGCTGGGCAGTCAAAATGCCATGCATCTTGAGGAAAAGGAGATGAGAGAGAAGGAGATGAGGAAACAGATAATTGAAGAAGCGGACGAGTACATACGAGGTTTCTATGAGAAGAGGAAGCTCAATATTGAGACCAACATAGCTACTAACAGAGAAAGAGAGAAGGTAATTTTTCTAAGAGCTTTGATTTTGCTAGATTTCTGTGCATAATGTACCAGTTGCCATGTTTTGATGTCGAGTATTTGTACGGAATAGTTGTACTTGGCCAATCAAGAGAAATTCCACAAAGAAGCGGACAAACAGTACTGGAAAGCAATAGCTGAGCTCATTCCTCGTGAAGTTCCTAATATTGAGAAGAGGAGAGGTAAGAAAGAGAAGGATCAAGATAAGAAGCCATCAGTTACTGTTATCCAGGGCCCGAAGCCTGGAAAACCCACTGATCTTTCAAGGTTGCGACAGATACTTGTTAAGCTGAAACATACACCCCCACCTCATATGATCCCACCCCCACCTCCTCCAAAGGATGCCAAAGACGGGAAGGATGGAAAAGATGCCAAAACTGGAAAGGATGGCAAAGATCCCGTAACTGGAAAAGATCCAGCATTAGGTGCAACCACGTCAGGAGCAAAGGCAGAGGCTGCTGCACCTGCCAAAGATGCCCCTGCAAACGGTTCCTCCAACCCGCCCAAAGAAGATGCAGCTGCTGACATTGCCCAGCCAACCGCAGAGCCAGAGCCAACTCCAGCTGCCTAATCCCTCACATTTTCTCTCCCTTCACCGTTGTTTTAACTCTATACTTTTTGTACCATCTTTACCAGGGTTTTATTTTGTAGTGTGATGCCTCTCCTGTCTTTGATCACATGATGACTAGGTATGTTGGTTCTGTTATTTGCTCTTTTTTTCTGGGGGCATATATTATTATACTTGTATGCACTGAGATTTGAAATTGGTTTTGTTTTTGCGTTGTCTTTTGGAGTTAGCCTTCTACACTGGCTCCTTTCTCTCTGTCGTATTCACAGGCTTGTGGGAAAGCAACGGAAGACTCCCTGACCCTATAAACACTTCGATCATACAATGCCAATCCGATACTAAAATGGACTCCAATCTAGTTTGGAAACTGTGTTTTTGTCTTAAATTTTGGCCCCATTCCTATATTTAATTATTGGATCAAGCTTGTGGACTCATGCAATTCCCGTCGTAAAAATTGCATCTAAAATCCAAGCACTTACAAAACAAACGCTCAAGCCTCAACACTAATCACACTTTCAACGAAACATGTTTTTCAATCGTGTTTGGTTTGAGATTGGACAATCGAAATGTTGAACATTGACTTCGTAATCGATAGTGTGATAAATGACCGCTCGGCTCTTCTAGAGGAGAGAGTGACAAGACAGATATCACAACAGTATGCGTAAATGGGAAAGGACAAGGGGGGAAGTTGAGGCTGTTATGCTGTGATAATTAATCCACACCAACCAGCGCTTATGAGAAGATGTTTTTCGAAGATATAAAAACTCAATAGATTGAAGTTTCTCTCCAGTTGGTCCAAACGTCCATGTGGCTATAAAAAGTCAAGCAGGTCATGTTTTCCAACTCATACGGAATTTGCGCCTCACCTTCTCTTTTCTTTTTTGCGTTTTTTTTTATAGACAGCGAACTGGTTGACCCGTTTGCCTGTTTTTTTTAAAAAAATTATATATATGAAAAAAATAAAAAGACGGTCAAACGGGTAAGCCAGTTCACTGAAATCGATTAAAGAGCTTTTTCCATCTTTGAGTTTAATTTTACAACAGTTAAATAATATCATTAACCTTGAGATTTTGCCTTTATTTTAAGTGTTGTTTTACTTTTAGGTTAGATGACAGTTACTGAGCACCATTAAAAATAATAGGATAATTTTGTAAATAAATAAATAAATAAAATAAAGTTAGAGGTGTGTGAACAGTGTTCATGAGTTTCGAATAGTGCATTATTTTTTTCTGGTGGTTAAAACCTTATTTCTAGAATAACTAACGAAATATCTTGGCATCCCTTCCATGAATGAATGGCACGTGTAGCATATCATGGTTAGCTTGACGCATGTGGATTTTAGTTGTTTTTTTCTTTTCTACTTAATTTTTGTATTGATCTTAAAAAAAAATTAAATTAGCCCTTAAAATTTGTTGTCATTAAGATCTTGCCCCTATTCTCTTTATTATCATTTTTTTTTTATTTAGAATGATTCATGAAATAAAGGATTTCTTTCAATCTCATCCATATTCTCTTTATTATAATTTTTTATTTAGAATAATTTGTGAAATTAAGGATTCTAGATATTTTCATTTGACATATTTGGTTTTTATTCTTTTCATTACTATATTTTTATTTTAGATTGTTTTTGCAATTGTTTTTTTCTTGCAACTTCATCATTCTTGATTTTTTTTTCTATCAAATCTAATATGTTCTATTATTATTGTGTTTTTTTGTTTTTACATTGCAAGATTTTTTTAGATTCATTTTCTTATTATTTCATCCTTGAACATTTAACTAGTTGGGTGTTTAGCTTTTTAGTTAAGTTCGGGTCTAAAATTTAACGGATTGCAAGTTTAAGAGATTAATCTCGGTTTACAAAGTTGACACTGGTTTTCTTTTTCTTTTTTTCATCCTCTAGCATTTATTATTATTATTATTATTCATTTTCTATGAGTTTTCAATCATTTTTTAAATAACACGGGTTGCCTTTGTTTCTTTTTTTTTTTGTTAAATTTATTTTTTAAAAGGAATTTTGTTTTTAAATTAAATTAGATTAATTAATTTTATTCTTCAATATTTAATTTTTTCAATATTGAGCCCATGTTGAGAATTTAATGAATTACAAGTTTAAGATTTTAATCTAATTTTACAAGATTCACTCGAGCTTACTTGGTTTTTCTTTCTTTTTTTAAGTTTTTTTTTATGATTTCGTCCCTCAACATTGTTTTTATTTGCTTTTCATGGATTTTTTTTTCTTTTTAAAATAACAAGGGATACCTCGAGTTTTTTTTCAATCATTGTTAAATTTATCTTCTTAAAAAAAAATTAATTAAATTAAACTTATTGATTTTGTCATAACTCATTTTTGGACCCCCCATAAAAAAATATAAAAAATACAAAAAAATATTATCAAAAAAATATGAACAGTGAAAAAATTGATATCAACGCGTTCTAAAAATGATTAAAAATTGGTTAAGGAGGGTAAAAAATACAAAGATGCAGCCTGCCCCACACTCACAAATTTAATCTTTGTGACCTACGTAAAGAGAGGAATAATCGTATTATAATAGGCAACCTGCCCCACACTCACACTTAAAATGATTTATTTTCATAGGCAACCTATCCAAGTAGAAAAAAAAAGAGTGATCTTGTTGTAATAGGTGACCTATCCAAGTGAAAGAGTGGTTTCATTGCAACCTATCCAAGTAGAAAAAACATGGAGAATTGATCGAATTGTAATCCGTGACCTACCCAAAATGAAAAAAAAAAAAAGAATAGTCATGTTGTAATGGGTGACCTACCTAGATAAAAACATAGAGAATTGTGGTCGAATTGTAATGGGTGACCTACCCAAGTAGAGTAATGGTTGTGTTGTAATGAGTGACCTATCCAAGTGGAGGAATGGTCGTACTGTAATGGGTGACCTACCCAAATAACAACATGGAGAAATATGGTCGAGTTGTCATGGGTGACGTACCCAAAATGAATGGGGAGGGCTCAAATGTGCACTTAAAAAAGAAGACAGGGTTAGAAAACGCATTACCTAAATGGTGAGGGCTCAAAGGCGCACTTAAAAATGAAGATAGGGTTAGAAAAACACACTACCTAAGTGGTGAGAATGCAAAGACGCGTTCAAAAGAAAAGAGGTAGGGTTAGAAAATGCACTACCTAGATGATGAGAGCTCAAAAGCGTACTTAAAATGGGAAATAAGGTTAGAAAACCCACTACCTAAGTAGTAAGGGCTCAAAGGCGCACTCAAAAGGAAATAGGGCACTAAGGCACACTCAAAAAAGAAAGAGGTAGGGTTAGAAAATGCACCACCTAAATGGTGAGGGCTCAAAGACGCACTCAAAAGGAAAGGGGGCACAAAGGCACACTCAAAAAAAGAAAGAGGTGGATTACCAATTTGATAAAAAGTTGAAAACCATGCATTAATGATTGATATACATGTATACTTACTAAATGAAATATAAGCCCTCATTTCTTCATGGTATCTTTTTTTTTTCCTCAGAAGTTGGAGTGTTGGTAGTAAACTTCGATGGCCTTTCCACACTTGCTTACTCAAATCACCTGTTGTGATTTCGACCTCTGGAAAGGGTTTGATGCCGTTGCATTTCTTTGTCTTCTAACCTTTATCTCACAGGTTGTCTGCTCTGCCCGATATTTTTCTTTGAAAAGGAATCATAGAGCTAGCTCTACCGAGTATTTGCCCCCCAGCTTGATCATGCCCCTCAAGTGTTCACATTGGGTTTTTTTTTGGATGAGGTTATATGAAAAAACGTTTGGGTTATTTACAGGGAAATGTTTCCATGCAAATTTTTGGAACTTCCAAATTATTCCAACCACAAAAATCATTTTAACATTGGTTCAAAATAAACTTGTTCTAAAAAATACAAGCGATTCCTATTGACAGGTTCTTGAAGTGATGAAAGTGTTTTGAAGCTTTTGGGTTAAAAATGAAGTGATATCTAATTGGTCATAAAAAGTTAAAATTTCAATTTAAGAGTTATTGAGAATCGAAGCAGTTCAAAACATTTGTTTTATTTGCATGAATAATGATTTGAACTGCACGATAAAGCACTGTTTACCGATCTAAATTGTCTTTCTTTAAATTTTAACAGACAAAACAATGTAGCCTACCGTAGATAGGACGTATTTAGGATGCTAATACCTTTCTTTTACGCAACTAGTCTTTGTACCTAATCTCTAAGACCAGTTAGGATTTCTAGTAACCAGAATATTAGGTGTCGACTCTCATTCAATTTTTCACTAATAAGAGACATATTCGTTGTTTTTTTTATATTTTACTGGAAATACACTATATCCACATTTCCATATTTTTTCTAGATGGTATGACAAATTTCATCCTCTAATATTTAATTTTGTAGGTGTTGAGCTTTTTAGTTTGACTTAAATTTATAATTTAATGAGTTACGAGTCCAAGAGATTAATTTAAGTTTACAAAGTTTACCAGAACTTGCTAAATTTTTAAAAAAAACTCATTTTTTTATTTCATTGATCAACATTTTATTTTTTACTTTCTATTAGATTTTTTGTGATTCTGAAAATAATAAAGGTTAACTTAGAATTTTTTTCAAATCTAGCTTTTTTAAAAAAATATATTTTTAAAATTAAATTGAATTAATTACATGAGTAAGCATGAGATGCTTGATTTACAAATTTTTGCTTTTATTTACTTTTTAAATCATTGCTTTAACAGCATATACAACCTCTTTTAATTATTAAATTCTTAATTTTTTTTACCTCTTTTAAACTTTGATATCATGTGAATATTTATTTTTATATTGACAAAAAATTATCCTGGTCTATAGCGTAGCGCAGCCGGAGGCCATTTATCTTTTCCACAGCTATTTAATGATGCTTTAATTTGGTGGTTGGATTCAGTAAATTTGTGCTGACAGGTTTTTAATTGATTCAAACAAGATATTGACAAGAACAAGCACTTCCAATCCAACTTGGTTTTTAATGCTCCCTACTGTACGACTCCCTACTTTACGACAACATCTGATCATGGTTGTTAATCTCTATCATGTCCAAACTTGAGAAATTATGTTCGGTTTGGATTTTTAGTTGAACCAACAAGATATAAACCCAACTAAACATTTTTAATCCAGTTAAGCTTTTAATGACCTATAAATCCAAATCCAAACCTAACTAGATTAATAATTAAAAAAAAAGTTGTTATCATACTCAATAATACAAGTTCTATTTTGT